TCAGCATCATAGTATGCACGCAGCTCCAAGGAAGATGTAGATGGAAGTAAAAGACTCTGAAAGACTACCCCAAAGATACCGCAAAATACGATGATCAACTGCCCAATGAACTGTAGTAGGAGAAGCAACAAATTGACTAATAATATGAATAGCATATGCAATATTTGGACGAGTAATAGTGAGATATACCGAGCTCCCAACAATAGTACGGTATAAAATAGGATCAATTGATATTAGTTTATATTTGGTTTGTGTTTATAAATAATCAAGTCATTTTTATTTACATATTTCGAGATATTCACGAGTACGTCCACTTATTCATGACTAATATTTATCTATTTATATATTTTTGTGTGTTTCACTTGTAATAGTTACGTAAGAGGAATCTATTTGGGACTTTCAGCTTTGTTAAGTACCACAATGCTTTTCAGCCTCGTAATGCTAATGGATACTTTAGACTTTGGGAGAATCTTTATCTGTATAACAAATATCTTACTTAATCATATTAATAATGATATTGATATTTTTCATGACATCTTCTTCACTCATATCCCTACTAATCGACACACGTAGAGGAGGCCCTTCTATTCAGAAAGGGGAGAAGGTGTTAATAAAGCACGAAAGAAAGGTGGTTGGGACGGGGACGAAAACGTAAGGAAAGAACATGAGGAATGACTATAGGAATAAAGAACCAGATAATCATAGTACTGTCATTGAGATACTAAAAATGACTGTTAAGATGTTATTTAATTGTTCTTAGGTAGTTTTTCATTTCACTCTTGAGCTTGGCCGGCATTAACAAAATCTTCGAGATAAAACGAATAGGAGTAGCTAATAATGGCATCAATTACATTTTTAATTCTTGATGTGGGCACATAATCATGTAATCTTTGCTTTAAAACTTTGGTCTATTGGATGCGAAGTTTTCTACACTGAGAATTATCACCCAAATTACCAATCAAATCCTAACTTCCGCCACTAATTGTATGCAACGAAATGATTGTGTGTACAAGGAAAGTCAGGCATCTCCATCACTAATATAAGAACTCTTTTTGTTAATTTCTTGGGAACCGTCAGTGTGTGTTTCTATTTCCTGTAACGCAAATACAATTTCAGCAATCATTTATGATATTATTATGTTCTCATTTGGTGTAAATTAAAAGTTGTTAAAAATCTTAAGTTAAATCGATAATTAATTTTAATCACGTATTTCATGTGATCTACAACTTTTGAATAACATATTTTCTCAATTTTTTGTCAAAATTTACGAAAAATTTGAATCTAATCTACATCAAACAGGGGCAAGCGGGTGTACAAGGTTAAGTATACGTCTGATGGGACTGTTGATTGATACAAAACGCGATTGGTGGCGAATGGGTATACTCAACAAGAAGGGCTTGACTTCTAGGAAACCTATTCTCCAGTGGCGAAGATGGTTACTATGAAACTTTTATTAGCGGTTGCAGCTATAAATAATTGGCACATTATTTAGTTGGATGTCAATAACGCCTTCCTTCATGGCGACCTTTTTGAAGAAATCTATATGGACCTACCATTGGGTTATAACCCTTCCATCTCATCTAGCAAACAAGGGGAGCGTCTGGTTGCAGATTACACAAGTCCATGTATGGACTAAAGCAAGCGTCAAGACAATGGTTCTCGAAATTTTCTAATGCCCTCTTACTCCATGGTTTTCATAATCAAAGTCTGATTACTCATTGTTCACCAAGGGTTCTGGAACAAGTTTTGTCACTTTACTTGTATATGTTGATGATATGGTCATCGCTGGCTCAGATTTACAAGTTATTAATGCTTTGAAATCTACTCTTCACACTCAATTTAAGCTAAAGGACCTAGGTAAGCTCAAATATTTTCTTGGTTTGGAGATTACAAGATCTCATCGAGTTATTGTCTTGTCTTAAAGGCATTATGCTCTTCAATTACTTGAGGATACAGGCTTTCTTGCTTGCAAACCTCCTGCCTCGCCTATGGATTCCAAAGTTTGCTTGAGCTCCTTTGAGGGGGAGTTGCTGGAAGATGGTTCTTGATATAGGAGACTGATTGGGAGGTTACTCTATATTACCATTTCTAGACCAGATATTACATTTACGGTACATAAACTCATTCAATTTGTTTCTTAACCTAGAAAGCCTCATCTAACAGCTGTTCATCATTTGTTACAATACATCAAAGATGCTCTAGGCCAAGGACTTTGTTCTCTACTGATTCATCCTTGCAATTGCGTACCTTCGCTGATGCAGACTGTAGGTCATGCTTAGACTCCAGAAAATCTATCACTGGGTTTTTGCGTTTTTCTTGGGGATTCTATAGTGTCTTGGATGGCTAAGAAATAGAATACGGTGTCTTGATCATCTGCTGAAGTTGAGTACCGTGCGTTGGCATCCACTACAAGTGAATTGATATGGATACATCAATTGCTTCTTGATCTTCATATAAGTTCCAAGATTCCTGTTTTGATATTCTGTGATAACCAAACAGCAATTCATATTGCTAGCAATCCAATTTTCCATGAAATGACCAAACACATAGAAATAGATTGTCATTTTGTGAGGGAGAAAATCAGTGATGGTTTTATCAAGCTTCTACCGGTTCGAACCAATCATCAACTAGCTGATATCTTCACAAAACTGTTGCCTGCATCTGTCTTATTCCTCTTGCTATTCAAGATGGCATTAATTGATCTTCACCATCCATCTTAAGGGGGAGTATCAGGACCAATGGAAGCAGCACGTTATTAGGCGCCAAGGATTAGTTCCAATTAGTTAAAGTTTGTTAACTAGTTAGTTGTCATTCAACTGTAATTCCCGCCTATTTTTTCCCCCTTTTGGTTTGATATTTATATGGTGTAAACATCCCATTTTACAATACAATCAGATATTTTCAATCCTCCAATACTCTCTGATCTTGAATATTAGTCAATATTTATGTTTGGGAAAGGATAAGCCGACGATGGTGTACTAACCTCTCTGTAGAGAGGAATGCAAGAAGAAGAGCTGCATAAGCTTCTAATAAGGAATCGTCATCGTCCTGCATAATCACATTTTGCACATAGATGTCAGCCATAAATACATTGTATTCTCTTCATATTTATAGATGGTAATGATGTTCACATCATTTTTGAAAATAAAAATCATCTGAGTTCCGTTGGCATCTGCTAATGGCTCTCAAAAACTTGTAGCAACAAATTATTCCGCTCTCTATATTACTAAAAAGGAAAATTGCACCAGGGGTCCCCAACTTATTCATCTAGTAGAGAGTGGGTCCTGATCTTCAAAAATAATCTTGGTGATCCCCAACCTTCCATTATAGCTGCACAAACATCCAGATTTATGACAGTTTCCATCATTGGGACTGACCATACAACTATAATTTGAGGACAAACTTGCTCCTTTTTAAACTAGGAGACCAACTTACTACTCGGGCAATAGGTTAGAGTATAATGATATGATTCTACTTTAGGATTTTAGAAAAAAAAATCAACTCGCTCAAACAAAAGATAATTAATTCTCATAATTTCTATGGATAAAGGCAATAAAACTTTAAAAAATAAAAAAAAAAATCGATGAACTCCCTTGGCTCAAATTGCCATGCAACTAAAGCTATACATTCAACATAGAAAAGATGAATCAAGGGATGGAAATAATACATAATAAAATGACACCAGTTTACTCACCCAGGACAAACATTTTCCTTCTCCAGTGGCCTCGCCAGCCCCTTGATTAGCCAAAAAGATAGAGCACAATAAAGGAATTACATCCTTACGGTCCTCCTCCGTCCCTTCCAAGCTCGGTAATGAAACACTACTTGTCGCAAGCCATGATCTGCAATGATAGATAAGACTCAGACACTAATTTTTCTAACCCTTAATAAAAAAATTCGAGTTACCACAAGCCAAGGTTGCCTGGCAAGGGTCAGAACCAATTCAAAGGAGTTGAAAAATGCAAATTGATTTACTATGGCCAATCAAACCTATTTTTCGATTCAATAGAATGCTTAAACACGTCAATCTGCCTATTGGTATCCTTTTCGTTGAACTAAAATCTTCAAACTAGTAGTAATGACACTTAATATTCGTATAGAGTGGGTACAAAATTTAATAAATGTGTGAATAATAAATGAATATTAGTTATGAATATGTGATTGAAATTAATATTTGATTTTCTTAAAAATAAGCACTTAAATTGCTTGAGGGCAATCTATTAGGGAAATCAATAGACAATATAAGGAATAATCAAATGGGTTCAAAAGTAATTTTTGAATAATGCACGTTTTGGCTTCTCAAATCAATACCAAACGAGACTTTATAAAAGCATAAAATATCCAGCTGAAATAATTAACTCCGTTAAGTCAAGCTTCTTCTTTGGGATCGTCGAAAATGGACGAAATTGAGCACGAGTACGTCGAAGTAAACGGACTAAAGCTTCACATTGCCGAAATCGGAAGTGAATCATCGCCGGTAGTTGTGTTTCTGCCCGGATTTCCAGAAATATGGTACTCTTGGCGGCTTGGCGCCACCTGATGATTGCAGTTGCTAAAGCTGGTTTCAGAGCAATCGCTCCCGATTACAGAGGCTACGGCTTGTCCGATCCGCCACTCCAACCCGAGAAAACCACCTTTTTGGATATGATATCTGACCTCCTTGCAATTCTTGATGCTCTTTAACATATCCAAGGTATGTGATTATTTGGTGATAATTGTGTTTTTGCTCTTACTTTTCAGCTGAAATTCTGGTTAGTCGCCTTGACAATTTTGGGTGTTTTGTGGATTTGTAAAGAGAGATAATATTTGGCTAAGCTAAGAATTTTAATTTTAAGGTAATTTACTATAAGTAAGTAAAAATGTAATAAGTAAGTTGTTAAGAGTTTGAAGAAAAAATTAATTTGCAGGTTTTCCTGGTAAGCAAAGATTTCGGTGCTTTCGTTGTTTCCATCTTTGTCCTCCTCCATCAGGAGAGAGTGTCAGGGTTCGTCACATTAGGCGTGCCATTTATGCTTCCTCGTCCTCCCACCCATCATAAGCTCCTTCCTGAAGGCTTATATATTTCAAGATGGCAGGTCGTCTCTTTTTTCTCCCCCTCCTTCTCGGGATAGCTGGATTTGGCTGCATCCAACTCTATCGATAAATTTTTCTTTCAGGAGCCTGGACGGGCTGAAGCTGATTTTGGTCGATTTGATGCTAAAAAAGTAGTGAGGAATATTTACATCATGTTCTCCAGAAGTGAAATTCCAATAGCTCAAGAAAACCAGGAGATCATGGACATAGTCGAACCATCTACTCCTCTACCCTCTTGGTTCTCTGAGGAAGATCTTGCAACCTATGGAGCCCTGTACCAGAAATCGGGATTTCAAACTGCATTGCAAGTTCCTTACAGGTAACGTGAAGGTTTTCTACATAAAAAATATTGTGCTCTCGCGTCATTCCTATGATAATATGACTATGGCTTATGCGAACTGATACATGGATGATTCAAAATAGGAAAGATTTAAAAAAAAAAAAAACGTTGTTTCAAGAAAGAGCACGTTTGGCTAAGCCTTAAAAGTATCTTTATCCTATTTTCAAGAACCTTTATCCTAAAAACCATGAAGCTACTTGGACCAAACAGGGTTGGATAATTTACTTTTTCCTTGCTAACGCTTAATCAAAATTATTTACTTGTGTGAAATTGCTTTTCTGATTGACTTTCGCTCTGTTTTAGGTCATTTCTTGATCGCAAGAGTGAACATTATAATATACCAATTCCGAAAGTTGAAGTTCCAGCTCTTCTAATAATGGCCGAGATGGATTATGATTTCCAGTTCCCAGGAATAGAAGAATACACAAGGAGCGGAGAGGCGAAAAAAGTTGTCCCCAGTTTGGACATAATCTACATACCAGAAGGAACTCATTTTGTTCAAGAGCAATTCCCTGAACATGTGAATGAGCTTATCCTTAACTTCCTCACAGGTCATAGCTGATCATTTCTCTTAAATAGCCCTTTCTACTTGCATAAACATTCTACTAAATAAAGGGGAAATTGTTGCGAGTTTGAATGAGACATATTGGGATCTCGTGTTTTGATAAACTAAGATGTATCTTGTTGAAGTTTCTGTATCTAAACTTGGGAGACGGATAACATGAACGAGAAACCACTATACAAATGATTGAATTACGTATAAGTGCTCTATTTTTCCTACACAATCATCTTAGCCTCCCAACTTGAACGGTGAATTGCAGCCGGAAATACATGAGCAAAAGAACAAATATCAAGCAAACGATAGAGCGCTCTGGTGGCTAGTTTGATAATTCACGCTGCACAAATCAGTTACTTTTTCAGTGTCATTTACAGTGATAATTCGAGCCCTCATCGGATTCTGCATGATTCGATTACTTCCAGCACAGTTTCGTGCGTCTCCGGTGATATCATGTTCAGCGTCATATGAAATTCCTGGAAGAACCGAAAAACGATGATATGAATGATGTTTATCTGACCAAGTTCATACTACACGAGTCCACAAGCTATTTAACTAAAGAGTTGCATAAGAAATACAAACCACAAATCTTTCCAACACCGGAACTAGTGTTGCCAGGTTGTGGTCCGGAAGACATTCAGCAATGGCATTATGTATGCTCTTACTGGTAATCGAGAGTATGTAAAAAAAAACAATGATTCATGAGAACAGTAGTCAATATTTATGTAGGGAAAGGATAAGCTGATGAAGGTGTGCTAACCTTTCAGTAGAAAGGAATGCAAGAAGAAGAGCTGCATAAGCTTCTACAATCATTTTTTCAGCTTCTCTCTCTCCCTGTAATAAGGAGTCTTCATCATCCTGCATAATCACATTTTGCACTTAGATGTCAGCCATAAATACATTGTACATAAATACATTGTATTCCCTCCATATTTATAGATGGTAATGATGTTCACATCATTTTCAAAAAATAAAAATCATCTGAGTCCCGTTGGCATCTGCTAATGGCTCTCAAAAACTTGCAGAAACAAATTATTCCTCTCTCTACATTACTCAAAAGGAAGGGGTCCCCAACCTATTCATCTAGTAGAGAGTGGGTCCTAATCTTCAAAAACAATCTTGTTGATCCCCAACCTTCCATTATAGTTGCACAAACATCAGATTTATGACAGTTTCCGTCATTGGGACGGACCATTTGAGGACAAACTTACTCCTTTTTAAACTAGGAGACCAACTTACTACTCGGGCAATAGGTTTGAGTACAATGATATGATTCTCAATTAGGATTTTAGGAAAAAAAGTCAACTCGCTCAAATAAAAGATAATTAATTCTCATCATTTCTAGGGATAAAGGCAATAAAACTTTTAAAAATAAAAATAAAAATCCATGAACCCCCTTGGCTCAAATTGCCATGCAACTAAAGCTATACATGCAACATAGAAAAGATGAATCAAGGGATGGAAATAATACATAATAAAATGACACCAGTTTACTCACCCAGGACAAACATTTTCCTTCTCCAGTGGCCTCACCAGCCCCTTGATTAGCCAAAAAGATGGAGCACAATAAAGGAATTACATCCTTACGGTCCTCCTCCATCCCTTCTAAGCTCGGTAATGAAACACTACTTGTCGCAAGCCATGATCTGCAATGATAGATAAGAATAAGACACTAATTTTTTCTAACCCTTAATTAAAAAAATCGAATTACCACAAGCCAAGGTTGCCTGGCAAGGGCCAGAACCAATTCAAAGTAGGTGAAAAATGCAAACCGATTATGATAGTCAATTAGTAAAACTTTGCTGATGGCCAAAATAAAGTACAGCCAACAAAAATCATCACTTTGATTTATGCTCATTCTTTAGAGATTTTACATAATCAGACAACTAGAGAATCATTGTTATATATAATTACTTTTTTCCCTTATGATGACAATAATTATTGAGTAGAAGTGTAGAATATGGGAAAAAATTGAAGGTGTTTCCCACCGGGTGACATGTCCTCAATACATGAATGCAAAGAAAGTGCAAATTCAATGCATTGAGGATCTCATCTTGTACCCTTATGTCATGGAAATTCTAAATGGTGGTAGCCAGTAACAATTCCCTTCTGATTGCCTGGATCTTGTTCAATTCACGCCATCAAGGCGAACAAAACCGAATAGAAACAACAATACTGTGGTGCACAATTGTCAGGCTTTCCTATGATAGGTTCTTCCACTGTATGGATCTTCCATCCCACTCCATCAAAGGTCATGTGCAAAGTTAAACTGCAAAGGTTCAAATCCTCCTTAAAAACTCATACTGTGCAATTTTTGGATGACCTGCAAAGTTTTAAATTCTCTTAAAAACTCGTACTATGCAATTTTTGAATGACCAATTCCTCTGAGCTTACATAATAATAGTTCCATCACTTCTCATACCTGGTGCATCTAGCATATCCTTCTCTTTGGAGGTGTCCAAACCCATCTAAACTGATCCTCTTAACAACTTATTTTCATAGGTGCTATATTAACCAATTCACAAATATTTTTTGCCAATTTCTATTTACCTTCTTGTTTAACCATAAACCCATCTTAACATTCTCATCTCAGTCAAATTCTATTTATATATTGTCCGAATGTAAGGAAGATGCATCAAGTTCTCACTTCCAATAGAAAATATCATTAGTAAAACAATGAAATAATCATCCATTCCACCGAAGTCCAAACTAACAAACAAAAGATGAAGAGAAACAGGGAACAATTTACCTGTTGCGGCAATCCTTCTCCACCAAATTCACAAGCAAGCCCAAAATAGCAACAAGAAAGTCTAGCTCGTGATCAGTGAGATGTGGGTAATTCTCTTGGTTAGTCTCCACAATTGATTTAGATGAGAAACTATTTTCCCTTAAGGGAGATGATGATAAGCTAAAGGATGGAAAGTGACCAGCAATCAGTGAAGACAGTGTTTCCAGCCCCCCACAGGCAGCAATTTGCCGACAACCCTCAGGATTGTCATTGGTTAAGTTCATCAGAACCTGCATATTAATAAAAAAGAAACTCAGTAATTTCCAGAATGCTGATGCATGAACACGTGAAAACATGCACAAGCCCATAAAACAATCATCCAGACAACACAAAGTATAGAAAAATTAAGCAAAAGAAGAACATAAATCTCCTTTCTAAGCTAAGAAAACAAATGAAAAGAATGTGCACTGTTGAAGAAGGAAAAAAACTGAAAAGAGCATAAAGGAAAGGGCTCAGCAACAGTTTTCAGTTGAACTCAATGGATCTATAATAACCTTATGACAGACAACATGACATAACTCCCAGGTACATTATAGGATTTCTCTAGAAAGAGCAAATAAAACTCTTAATCGTTGGTCTTCCATGGGAAACTCGAAGAAAACTCATTTCTTTAAAGTCACAAATTGAAATTTTAAATTACCTTGACAGCTGTAAGAAGACAATCTGCCAAAAGATCGGACTTGTTTTCATCAACAGTGGATGAACACGAGGCTTCCTGAGAACAATGATTTTCCAAGTTGCTGTTTTCTTGTTGGTTTGACATCAGTTGAGAGTGACACCTGTCTTCATGGTCACTCACTGTTGCCCTCCTATTTTCAGTTCGAGATTTCTTTCTCCTTCCAGATAATAAGTCCCACTTCGAGGGTTCATCAAATTCATCGTCATGAAAAGCGAAAGGATCCTGACTGTCCTCGACGAAATCGAGGCTGGCACCTTCAGAAACTTTATCTCTCTTGCCAATACCAACTTTCAATTCTGAACCATTATTTCTCAAGGATACACCATTGATTGAATTTCCTGATGTTCCACTGCATGATGCGGACGTGGAGGACTCAATTCTCATATTCAGCAACCAAGGATCAGAAGCTATGTCAGTAGTTTCCATACTGGATTTAGAATATCCTGGCTGATCAGAACTAATGCATCGATCTTCTTGAGATGCACTAAAGAGTTTCTCAGAGGAGGTCCATTCCATGCTACCACACCCTGTGCAAGGACTGAAAGACTTCTCAACTTTGCCCACTGCAATTTCAGAAGAAAAACAATTGAACTTCTAATTTTCAAAAATAAACTTACCATTCAAAATACTTGCATTGCTATTGTGAAATGCCCGCTATTCACTTTTAATTTGAAGCATAAGCTATCTTAACACACTGGAGTATAAATATCAAGTGAGATTTAGACTGAGTATCTTTATCATAGGTAATTTCTAATTTCAAGAATAAACAATATTGTTGCAAATAATCGCATTGCTAATGCGAAATACCTGCTATTATTTTCACTTCAGAGGATAAGCTCCTTTAACAAAGATGATATATATATATATATATATATATATATATATATGTATCATGAGAAACTTAGACCATGTACCTTTACCATATGTAATTAAAGGCCTTTCAGAAGAATTTGCCCTCCCATTACAAATTCCACATAGTTTTTCATCTTGAGAACTCCCCCTTGAATTTCTCACTAAGGAAACACCTATCATGAAACATATATTGAGAACATTAACTGCAATAAACGCAATCCTCAAGTCTATTGTGCAGCTATCACAAAGGAACCAATCAGGATAACTTAAAATAAAGAAATAAAAAAAATTCTAGGGGGCAGTCTATCAGTACAAGATACCTGAGAGAATCTTAACGACACTTAGAATCAATTTTGTGAACGTATGTGGAGCTTGATGAATGTGAAAGTTTCCTTTCATTCCAAGCAAATGGCACTGTATTTTATAACCAAATTTAAAAACAAATTCGGAGAAATCAACATCAGCTAGTCGAACATTTATCATTTAGAAGGGTAGGGAGCAAATAAAAGATGATGATGTCAATAATGCAGAGATCCAGATTCAAGCTCGGTACCTGATTATCATTGCTAAGAAAAGTGGCATTTTCCATGATTTTTAAACATTTCAAAAGCAGCACTAGGCTCTCTAGCCCCACAACATCTTTTGAATCCAGCACTAAAGACGGACTCCGTTCTAACCATCCCTGCA